GTGTGTGTGTGTGTGTGTGTGTGTGTGTGTGTGGTGTGTGTGTGTGTGTGTGTGTTTTAGCTTTCCTGAACCTTCAGTTTACAAGGAAACTCTGGTACTAAGTAATTACTGCAGTTGCAGACATTGTGTGTGTGTGTGTGTGTGTGTGTGTTTTGTGTGTGTGTGTGTTGTGTGTGTGTGTGTGTGTGGTTGTGTGTGTGTTTTAGCTTTCCTGAACCTTCAGTTTACAAGGAAACTCTGGTACTAGCTAAGTAATTACTGCAGTTGCAGACATTGTTACATCAGCATTATAGCAGACCTACTGGACCATGCTAGGCAGGTTAAACTCTCTTCCTATCTTTATGTATAGTCATCGAGAAAGCAGCTTATATAATACCCTAAAGGAGATTCTAGGATGTATATACATACACACCTCTAAATGTATGTACATGGAGATACTGACCTGACAGTGTATATACACAATAGAGATGACTGACTCACTTCACAGCTTAAGTGGTGACGAGGTTGTTAGACTTATTACGTCACTCTCCACTGGATATATATATATATATATATATATATATATATAATATATATATATATATATATATATATATATAATATATATATATATGTTACGTGGTCGTAGATATGGTGGTAGTAGTGGTGGCAGTAATAGTACTACTAGTACTAGTAGTACTAATAGTACTAGTAGTACCAATAGTACTAGTATTACTAGTAGTACTAGTATTACTAGTAGCTCTAGTATAAACTAGGAACAACTGGGTTAATCTCTAAAAATATTTTCACGAGACAACTCAAGAAGGAAAAAATCAAGACACAGTGATACCTTGATACCACTGACCTGGTGTTGATTCTTATGAGAGAACTTTAAACAACGTCTCCTCTTCCTCGAATCAAACCTAAATCACTTTGTATGCCCCAAGACTTGTTCCATACTTGTTCAGGCAACTTACACGTTTGTAAGAACTTCGTTACAATGGAGAAGAAAAAGGCACAATACCGGCACTGGAACAATACACGTTACGGTCCATTAACAAGTTAGAGTAACACACGAAGGTGAGGGAGCCAGTATAAAAGGGTGTTTCAAAAGATGGACCCGATTTGAAATCTCTACTCCTTTGAAATTGGGTCTAATATTTTGAAACACCTTGTGTATAGGCAAGGGGGTTAGGAACGGGATCACGAGAGGAAGAATAAGTAGTGGCAGTAGCAGTGGTTATAGAAAGTAGGAGGAGTAGTTTTAGTGAGACAAGAGATAGAAAAGGGGAGTGAAAGTTGAGGGGAGGCAATAGTAATGTTAGTAGCAATAGTAGTTATGGAGTAGTAGTAGTAGTAGTTGTAGTAATATAAGTGGGATCAGTCTAAGGACTGATCCCACTTATAGGAGCCCTGCAGGAGAGCTAAGAGCCCAAAAGAGGTAGGATCAACACCACAAGGGAGAACTGGAGGACAGAACACACTTACGCAGAAGAAATAATAATATCTTAATTTCTACCAGTACATGTACAAGGTATACAGACCATAGCTGACATCAATGACATTCTATTATACAGAAAGCCGCTTGTTATGCTGAGCATTTCCCGCAAATTAGGTCAGTTTTGTCCCAAGATGCGACCCACACTAGTCGACTACTACCCAGGTACCCATTTTACTGCTAGGTGAACATGGACAGCAGGTGTCCTAATGTTTTTCCAGCCGTACCGGGGATTCGATCTCCGGACCTCAGTGTGTGAGCTCAGTGCGCTAGAAGAGACAGGGAGAAGAGGAGAAGAAAGAATCAGGTCAAATCACGAGTGTTCTGATGTTTGCAGCACTTGATAATGTAATGCGTAAGAAAAACATCTACAGAGACAGCCACGACTAAGATTCATACTGGGAAAGTTGTGTATAAGTGATGCTTTAACAAGACAATGACTGTGACAGCTAGAAGTATGGTAGACAGTTTTACCAGAGGACCAGTCAATAACTGTGATTTCTAATATGACAAAAAGAGCGTTATTGGTGTCGGCAAGAATGTCATGTCAGAGATCACAGTCATCTTATTGACTGGTCCTCTGGTAAAGTTGTCTCTGAGACACAAACCTCTCAGTGTATATACAATGAGAGGTGTATGCCCCGGTGTATATACACTGAGAGGTGCATGCCCCAGTGTATATACACTACACTCTCGTGTAGTACATAGACTTTAAGCCCCCATTAACCAACACTCGGTTCTGACCTACTTTATAGACGCACGTCAACTTGTGACAGTTCAACTGGGAGTCTGATGCACGTTAACTTGTTATAGTCCACCTATCTATCTGACGTACGTAAGCCTCGGATAGTCCACCACCTGGAAATCCGACGTACGTCCACCTGGAAATCCGACGTACGTCCACCTGGAAATCCGACGTACGTCCACCTGGAAATCTGACGTAATACAGCGACGTTATTACCGCACAAACACTGTATCACTTCCACGGCTGACGTAACATATCACAAACTCACCTTGAATCATTATCGACAGCATCATTTCTCCTATTTTTCACCAACTCCCATCAAATAACCACAATCCCCACAACCACAATCAAACCACCACCCACGAACGCCCTATCTACTGCAACGCGCAACAAAAATTTGCAATATCCAGTGATTTGAAACGGAATTCAATATTTTTCACGGCCGCCAACGGCGGCTCTGGGAAGACCGCTTGGAGTTAAGTATAAATAGAGCAACCGGAGAGCCTCAGGCATCAGTCTTGCGGTAGATTTCTTGGTGTTCGGTGTGTTCCGGGAGCAGCAGTTGTTTTGCTTGTCTGGTGTTGATACGAGGATCGTAGTTCTGTTATTGAATTAGGGATTGCTGGGTATAGTGAAGGAGGTGAGTTGAGTTAGACAGAAGGATTGTATTTGAGTGAGACTTGTACATGAGTTAATGGGGTTATCAAGGTTCATTTCTTGGGTAACACTGATAATGGGTTGGGTAATTTTTGTTAGTGGGTTTGGGTTGAAGAAGGACCTGCCTAGTATGGGCCAGTAGGCCTGCTATTCTAGGTTACAAATGGGATGATTTCTAGCAGAATTTATAGCCGTCATAGGCCTTAAATTCTAAGGATATCAACTTCAAAAGTGGTTGTTCTTGAACCTTACCTACATCCTTAAACAGGTTCACATGACCCTTGTAGTCCTTAAATCTTACCTACAACACCCTTAAAACAGGTTCACAGCCGTTGTAGCCTTTGACATTATAAAGAATTTGTTATATCTTGTCCCTAATGTTTGTTATACCTGAAAGAATCCTTTTGGGTTAGTCTTCGAATCCCTTGCAACTTTAACCTCATAATCTCTCTTTGCTTTTCCGATTCCATTTTTATTTCTCTCTTTAACTGAATATGTTTTTTTAACTGCCCATCCTCTCTTTTGATTCGCCTGTAAATGTCTCTCTTTTGGTCAATGTTTTAATCTATTGTTTACCTATTCAGGGTCATTTCTGTTTGATCTAATTTCTCTATTCGGCAACCATCACCACCTACCTGACCCATAGTCAGGTCATTCCAGCTCACCCCACCCAGGTAATTTCTCAGTCCTATGAAATCGGCCAAGCGGAAGTCAAGGACATTGACTTGATCGTAGTTAAGGTAATTCCATGATATAATGAAACTGATTGCAGCATAATCTAAATGAAGCCTAACCAATGATACATAGAGTTGAATAATAACCTGAGGACACTAAGAGTTCTATTCTCTTTATTGCTAACATTTAAGCAATGTTGTCTTGGTTTTAGAGCTTTGCACTTGTCTACTTTAAACTGTATCTGCCACTTTTCCGACCACTGCGTCAGTCTATTTAGATCTTCCTGCAGCTCTCTAGTGTCTTCGTCAGAGTTAATTCGACGGCTTATTTTGGTGTTATTTGCAAACTTGCTTATGTCACTGTTTATTTCTTCATTTATGTCATTTATGTAAATTGTGAACAACAAGAGGCCCAACACTGACCCCTGTGGAACAAGGGGCCCAACACTAAACCCCTATGGAACAACGAGGGGCCCAACACTGACCTCTGTGGAACAATGAGAGACCCAACACTGACCCCTATGGAACAATAAGGGGCCCAACACTGACCCCTGCGGAACATCGCTTGTGATGCGTCCTCGCTCTGATTTCTCTCTGTTTATGCAAAATCTCTGTTGCCTATCCGTCAACCGCACCTCTATCCAGGAAAAAATTTCTCCTATTCTGTGGTCCTCGACTTTCCTCAATAACCTCCGATATGGAAGAAACACTTCCTAGCGTCCCTGTGACTCATCTGAATTTTTTAAACTTGTAGCTGCGTCCTCTTGTTGCTGTGCTACATCTGTGACGCATTCTGTCCTTGTCCACCTTGTCAATTCCTCTCAATATTTTTTATGTCGTAATCATGTGTCCCCCCTATCCCTCCTGTCCTCCAGTGTTATCATACCCCCCTATCCCTCCTGTCCTCCAATGTTATCATATCCTCCCAATCCCTCCTGTCCTCCAGTGTTATCATACCCCCCTATCCCTCCTGTCCTCCAGTGTTATCATACCCCCCCTATCCCTCCTGTCCTCCAGTGTTATCATACCCCCCCCTATCCCTCCTGTCCTCCAGTGTTATCATATCCTTCCAATCCCTCCTGTCCTCCAGCATTATCATACCCCCCCTATCCCTCCTGTCCTCCAGTGTTATCATATTCTTCCAATCCCTCCTGTCCTCCAGTGTTATCATACCCCCCCTATCCCTCCTGTCCTCCAGTGTTGTCATATCCCCCCTATCCCTCCTGTCCTCCAGTGTTATCATATCCCCCTATCCCTCCTGTCCTCCAGTGTTATCATATCCCCCCTATCCCTCCTGTCCTCCAGTGTTATCATATCCCCCCCTATCCCTCCTGTCCTCCAGTGTTATATCCTCCCAATCCCTCCTGTCCATTTACCAATCATTTTGTTGGTATTTCCACCATTATTACTCTGCGGACTGTTGTTTAACACTGTTGTTCTCCTCCAGCAGCCAACACTGATGGAGGGAGGTCAGTATATCATGGAGGGAGAAGAGGAGGCCAAGAGTACTACGCTGATCTTCTCCATGACAGAGGAGGTCGGGGCGCTGGCTAATGCCCTCAAGATATTCCAGGTAAATACCAACTAGTTTCTTCTCTCCCTTCTTCATTATCTTCCTGTTCGTTTCTTCTTCTTTTCTTCTTAGTGCTTTCTTCCCATTTCTTCTCTGATCCTCGGGAATCATTAGGTTTGTTTTCAAGAATGGGGAAATTGGGTCCCATTCTTTACGGAAATTCTTTTCTTTTTCCCAGCCTTAAAAAATTCTATACGTGTGATACACTTGGTATATCTGTGTTATACTGGTGATATACCTGTGATATACCTGTATTATACCCGTGTTATGCATGTGACAGGCCCACAACGTCAACCTGCTACACATCGAGTCTCGACCTTCAAGACGAGAAGCAAAGTACGAGTTTATGGTAGAGTGTGACTCGACCTCTGGTGACCTGGGAGCAGCCATGGAAGAGATGAGAGCCAGCTGTTCCTACTTCCAGGTCATCTCCAGGAACCACCTGGATAACAAGGGTAAGATACCTGGGTAACAAGGAATACCTGGATAACAAGGGTAAGATACCTGGGTAACAAGGGATACCTGGATAACAAGGGTAAGATACATGGGTAACAAGGGATACCTGGATAGCATGGGCAAGATAACAGGTGTGGTACACACCTGTTAGTGCACTAGTGGGCCCCGCCTACCTGTGTCTTTATCTCCAGCTGCTGCACCTCAAGACTGAGGGACTGATTACCCAATCTTCCAGTGGCTTCTGTAGGGCCAATAGACTGATTATCTTCCACCGAAGTTGAGGGACTGATTACCTCAAAGTAACCCTTCCAGGTCGTCTATAGTCCCAGGGATTGTACTTTAACAACCACATCTGCTGCGTCACACATCAAAGTTAACTATTTCTACTACTGGTGAGCCAACCACGCTTATGGTCTGCTGTTACTACTACTACACCAACTACCATAATTACTATGTCTACAACTACTGTTACTACAGCAACCACTACAACAAGCACTACTACTACTACTACTACAACTATTACTACTACTACTGCTATTACTACTACTACTACTGCTACTACTACTACTACTATTACTACTACTACTACTGCTACTACTACTACTATTACTTCTGCTGTTGCTGCCACTACTATACTACAATGACCACTAGCTTCCTTTGAGATTCTCTAGATTCCTACAACTCCACTGCTAAAGCTCTGGGCCCATCTTACACTCCTGGATGACTTTAATACCAGGGCCCCGACCACATGTAACCGCCTCTCCTATTACTGCCTCACTCCACTTTTCCCAGTGTTCCACTGTGAAGGCCTACTCTCTCTTAGTGGGCGAAACGTCTCTTAGATGCCAAGTTATCAGTGTTATGTATATAAGAAGGAACACTGCAGGAGGTCTACTGTCCCATACTAGGCAGGTCTTAATCATACCCGCTCAAGAAAGAGCACTGCAGGAGGCCTACTGGCCCATGTTAGGCAGGTGATCTGATTACACCTTCTCTTCCTTACAGACACAGTGCCCTGGTTCCCTCGTAAGATTGCCGATCTGGACCGCTTCGCCAATCAGATTCTCTCCTACGGATCAGAGCTGGATGCTGACCACCCTGGCTTTACTGACCCAATATACCGCGAGAGGAGGAAGTTCTTCGCTGACATTGCTTATTTCTACAGACAGTAAGTCCATAACTTCAACCTTATAATATATATATATATATATATATATATATATATATATATATATATATATATATATATATATATATGTGTGTGTGTGTGTGTGTGTGTGTGTGTGTGTGTGTGTGTGTGTGTGTGTGTGTGTGTGTGTGTGCGTGTTTGTGTGTGTGTGTGTGTGTGTGTGTGTGTGTGTGTGTGTGTGTGTGTGTGTGTGTGTGTGTGTGTGTGTGTGTGTATACTCACCTAGTTGAGGTTGCAGGGGTCGAGTCCAAGCTCCTGGCCCCGCTTCTTCACTGGTCGCTACTAGGTCACTCTCCCTGAACCGTGAGCTTTATCATACCTCTGCTCAAAGCTATGTATGGATCCTGCCTCCACTTCATCGCTTCCCAAACTATTCCACTTCCTGACTACTCTGTGGCTGGAGAAATACTTCCTAACATTCCTGTGATTCATCTGTGTCTTCAGCTTCCAACTGTGTCCCCTTGTTGTTGTGTCCAGTCTCTGGAACATCCTGTCTTCGTCCACCTTGTCAATTCCTCTCAGTATTTTGTAAGTCGTTATCATGTCCCCCCTATCTCTCTTGTCCTCCAGTGTCGTCAGGTTGATATCCCTAAATCTCTCCTCGTAGGACATACCTCTTAGCTCTGGGACTAGTCTTGTTGCAAACCTTTACACTTTCTCTAGTTTCTTCACGTGCTTAGCTAGGTGTGGGTTCCAAACTGGTGCCGCATACTCCAATATGGACCTAACGTACACGGTGTACAGGGTCCTGAACGATTCCTTATTAAGATGTCGGAATGCTGTTCTGAGGTTTGCTAGGCGCCTGTAAGCTGCAACAGTTATTTGGTTGATGTGCGCTTCAGGAGATGTGCCTGGTGTTATACTCACCCCAAGATCTTTTTCCTTGAGTGAAGTTTGTAGTCTCTGGCCCCCTAGACTGTACTCCGTAGGCGGTCTTCTTTGCCCTTCCCCAATCTTCATGACTTTGCACTTGGTGGGATTGAACTCCAGGAGCCAATTGCTGGACCAGGTCTGCAGCCTGTCCAGATCCCTTTGTAGTTCTGCCTGGTCTTCGATCGAGTGAATTCTTCTCATCAACTTCACGTCATCTGCAAACAGGGACACTTCGGAGTCTATTCCTTCCGTCATGTCGTTCACAAATACCAGAAACAGCACTGGTCCTAGGACTGACCCCTGTGGGACCCCGCTGGTCACAGGTGCCCACTGTGACACCTCGCCACGTATGTGTGTGTGTGTGTGTGTGTGTGTGTGTGTGTGTGTGTGTGTGTGTGTGTGTGTGTGTACTCACCTATTTGTGGTTGCAGGGATCGAGACATAGCTCCTGGCCCCGCCATTCACTGATCACTACTGGGTCCTCTCTCTCCCTGCTCCATGAGCTTTATCATACCTCTTCTTCAAGCTATGTATGGATCCTGCCTCCACTACATCACTCTCCAGATTGTTCCACTTCCTGACAACTCTATGACTGAAGAAATACTTCATAACATTCCTTTGACTCATCTGAGTCTTCAACTTCCAACTGTGACCCCTTGTTTCTGTGTCCCGTGTCTAGAACATCCTGCCTCTGTCCACCTTGTCAATTCCTCGCACTATGTCGTTATCATGTCTCCTCTAACCCTCCTGTCTTCCAGTGTCGCCAATTTCCCTTAACCTTCCTTCTCAGGACAATCCCCTTAGCTACTGAATTAGTTTTGTTGCAAACCTTTGCACTTTCTCTAATTTCTTGACGTGCTTGACCAGGTGTGAGTTCCAAACTGGCGCTGCGTATTCCAGTATGGGCCTGACGTACAAGGTGGACAGAGTCTTGAACGATTCCATACTGAGGTATCGGAACGCTATTCTTAGGTTTGCCAGGCGCCCATATGCTGCAGCAGTTATCTGGTTGATGTGCACCACAGGAGACATGCTCGGTGTTATACTCACCCCAAGATCTTTCTCCTTGATCGAGGTTTGCAGTCTTTGGCCACCTAGACTATACTATGTCTGCGGTCTTCTTTGTCCTTCCCCGATCTTCATGACTTTGCATTTGGTGGGGTTAAATTCGAGAAGCCAGTTGCTGGACTAGGTGTCCAGTCTGTCCAGGTCTCTTTGAAGTCCTGCCTGATCCTCATCTGATTTAATTCTCCTCATTAACTTCACATCATCTGCAAACAGGGACACTTCTGAATCTATCCCTTCAGTCCTGTCACTCACATATACCAAAAATAGCACTGGTCCTAGGACTGACCCCTGTGGGACCCCGCTTGCCACAGGCGCCCACTCTGACACCTCGTCACGTGCCATGACTCGTTGTTGCCTCCCTGTCAGGTATGTGTGTGCGTGTGTATGAATTATCGCCTGTGGACTCTGAAGGTTAACCTCGTGTTTGGTTAGATGAGGTTCCACTAGGGTGCTGCGTACTCCATGACTGGTCATGTTTGTTGTCAAGGATGATTATCCCTATTTACATCTTTGAAGGTCACCGTTGTGTGTGTCTGTGTACTCACATATTTGTGATTGCATGGGTCGAGACATAGCTCCTGGCCCCGTCTCTTCACTGATCGCTACTAGGTCTTCTCTTTCCCTGCTCCATGAGCTTTATCAAACCTCATCTTAAAGCTATGTATGGCTCCTGCCTCCACTACATCACTTGCCAGACTATTCCACTTCCTGACAACTCTGTGACTGAAGAAATACTTCCTAACATCCCTGTGATTCATCTGAGTCTTTAACTTCCAACTATGACCCCTTGTTTCTGTGTCCCATCTCTGGAACATCCTGTCTCTGTCCACCTTAGCTATTCCTCTCAGTATTTTGTATGTCGTTATCATGTCTCCCCTAACCCTCCTGTCCTCCAGTGAGTGTGTATGTGTGTGTGTGTGTGTGTGTGTGTGTGTGTGTGTGTGTGTGTGTGTGTGTGTGTGTGTGTGTGTGTGTGTGTGTGTGTTATAACCCAGCAAAACCAGGTAGTGTGGCTCATTTCCATTGAAATCAAAAGGACACAAGTGCAACTAATGTGACATTTATTGTGGCAACGTTTCGCTCTCCAGGAGCTTTATCAAGCCATTACAAACAATACGCGGACACAGAGGGTATATAAAGGCTCAGAGTGAGGTGCAATACTACTACTACTACTACTACTACTACTACTACTACTACTACTACTACCACCACTAGTGAACATCGAAATGTTACCTCACTAGTATTGCACCTCACTCTGAGCCTTTATATACCCTCTGTGTCCATGTATTGTTTGTAATGGCTTGATAAAGCTCCTGGAGAGCGAAACGTTGCCACAATAAAATGTCACATTAGTTGCACTTGTGTCCTTTTACTTTACATATTGTCGGTAATTCTACCAACTTTATTACAATCCATTGAAATCCTTCGGTCCTCCCCCAGGATGCCACCCACAACACTCGGCTAACACCCAGGTACCTATGTAGTCATAGGTGACCAAGGCAGCAGGTGCTGTACGTATGGATAAATCTCTTAACCTAACACCTGCAGTCCCCGTTTATTTACCAATAAGTAGGTACCTGAGTGTTAGTCTACTAATACCTGCTGTCACTGTTCACCTAGCAGTAAGTAGGTATCTGGTAATTAGCTAACTGCTTTGGGTGGCATCCTGAGGAAGTTCCTAAGAACTGCAATAAAAATAAACCATACTAACTGGCTTCTCAGGCTTATCCTGGCTTCCCAGGCTTATCCTGTCTTCCCAGGCTTATCCTGGCTTCCCAGGCTTATCCTGGCTTATTATGAACTAACTGAGGTTAACAATCAACAGAAAAACAAATATATATTTTTAAAATGATTCCTATTTGTCCCTATTAAACAGCCACCAGTGTTACATTTGTCCCTATTAAAAAGCCACCAATGTCACATTTATCCCTATTAAACAGTCACCAATGTCACATTTGTCCCTATTAAACAGTCACCAATGTCACATTTGTCCCTATTAAACACCCACCAATGTCACATCTATCCCTATTAAATCAACAATCATATTAAAACAGCTGAATTCATCCATTATATCCGCGTGTACTCTAAATAATCAATTCCCACAATTCCCAGCAATCAAGAAATTCCCAGAATTGACTACACGGAGGAGGAGGTGGCCACCTGGGGTAATGTATTTCGTAACTTAACGAAACTGTACAAGACTCACGCATGTAAGGAACACAACATGGTGTTCCCGCTGCTTATAGAGAACTGTGGCTACCGGGAGGATAATATTCCGCAGCTCCAAGACGTTTCGAACTTCCTCAAAGGTGAGAAATGTTGGGAAATGTACCGTCTGGAGGGTTTTCCTGGAGATATCGGAGTTACCCCTTCGAAATTTTGTTTTTGTTACCCCTAATTTTTTTTATTTATGCCTTTAATAATTTTCAGTAGTTATCCCTTCAATATTTTTCAATAGTTAGCCTCTCAATATTTTTCAGTAGTTATCCCTTCAATATTTTTCAATAGTTAGCCTCTCAATATTTTTCAATAGTTATCCCTTCAATATCTTTAACATAGCTATCCTCTCAATATTTGTTAACAAATATTAATGATAACACAGTTAACACAGTGAGAAAATACTCAAGAAATTTAACGGTAACTACACTAATTGGACTAAAACAATCTTACTGAAATATGTTGGAAACACAGAATGAGTGATTTGTACTATTGTGTTCAGAATGAGTTTAATACCATTAGTATCTGAACCATTAAAAAATGAGAGAAGAGGCAGTTTAGAAAGGGAGAGACGGTTCCTCTACAGGAGAAGGTGCAGAATCACAGAGCCCTGTGTTGCGAATTTAGAAAAGTGACAAATTAAAGAGACACTTGTGTAAGACATAGGAGTCTTTACTCTAGATATGTTACATAAAACAGTGGCTTCTGCAGTCGTATTCAGAGAAGAATGGTGTAAGGTAAAGAGTTTGAGGTAATCCGTCCCTCAGCCTGGAGTCGATGCATTCAACCTATCAAACAGTGGTGGTCAGAACGCATTGACTCCAGGCTGAGGGACTGATTACCTCAAACGACCCCTGGTCTTCCACTCTTCTCTGTATTGGACTGAAGAAGTCACTGGCTGGCGAAACGTTTTTACAGTAAAGATTCCCAAATACTGCCCAAGTATCTCATTCTTCCAGCTTAATTATAAGGATGAGAAATGCTGGTTAGAAAGAATTAAAATACTGAGAAGATACTGAATGTGTCTTCGTTTAGGAGGGACAGAGAACAAGAAATCACTACTGGAACTGAAATCCAAATCACTACTGGAGCTGAAATCCAAAATCCTCTTTCTTATTTCCAAAATCCGGAATAAAATCCACATCTAGTATCAGGCTCTTGCTTAAAGGAGATGGAGCTCACGGTGACAACAATGCCCATAAGAAATAAGTCACTTTGACTTTTTTGGGTTATACTATATTTATTTACTACAAGTACATGTACAAGGTATACAGACCATAGCTGACATCAGTGACATACTACTGTATAGAAAGTCACTTGTTATGTAGAGCATTTCACACAAATTAGGTCAGTTTTGTCCCAGGATGCGACCCACACCAGTCCACTGACACCCAGGTACCCATTTTACTGGTGAGTGAACATAGACAACCGGTGTATACACGTCCAATGTTTCTACCCTCACTGGGAATCGAACCCAGAACCTCGCCGCGTGAAGCGAGAGCTTAAGCCACCAGGCCACGGGGCAATTTATAATATAAAGAGCTTAAAAAGGCAAAACAGTGTGACTGGAACAATACACAAATAACCCGCATATACGAGAGAGGAACTTACGACGACGTTTCGGTCCGACAGGTTCCTAAACCTGTATTCCCTGGAACGCAGGCGAGAGAGATACATGATTTTATACACTTGGAAAATCCTAGAGGGACTAGTACCGAACTTGCACACGAAAATCACTCACTACGAAAGCAAAAGACTTGGCAGACGATGCAACATCCCCCCAATGAAAAACAGGGGTGTCACTAGCACGTTAAGAGACCATACAATAAGTGTCAGGGGCCCGAGACTGTTCAACTGCCTCCCAGCACACATAAGGGGGATTACCAACAGACCCCTGGCAGTCTTCAAGCTGGCACTGGACAAGCACCTAAAGTCGGTTCCTCACCAGCCGGGCTGTGGCTCGTATGTTGGTTTGCGTGCAGCCAACAGTAACAGCCTGGTTGATCAGGCTCTGATCCACCAGGAGGCCTGGTCACAGACCGGGCCGCGGGGGCGTTGACCCCCGGAACTCTCTCCAGGTAAACTCCAGGTAAACTGACTAGTCACACTGACACACGAAGTGAGGGAGCCAGTATATACAGGAAAGGAGGACAGGGACGGGACTAGGAGAGAAAGAAGGTACTGGAGTAGTAATGGGAGAGATAATTTACACTATACTACATGATAATTGTAATTATGTGTATCTATACCTAAATAAACTTACTGAGTAAAGCAATGGAATCACAACACAAGACTGTGGTCTACTGAGGCTTCAGAGGGACTGATCACCACAAACTAACCCACAGGATCCCAATGGAAATAAACCACTGACTGCTTTGGGTTATCCTAGGTAATTTACACACATGTTACTGTGTATAATAATGTGTGCCTGTACCTAAATAAACTTATTTACAGATTGTACTGGCTTCACCTTGCGTCCCGTGGCAGGTCTTCTGTCATCTAGGGACTTTCTGGCAGGCTTGGCATTCAGAGTTTTCCACTCAACACAGTACATCCGTCACCCTAGTATGCCACTCTACACGCCGGAGCCTGACATCTGTCATGAACTATTGGGTCATGCGCCTCTCCTAGCTGATCCTTCCTTTGCGCAGTTCTCGCAGGAGATTGGTTTAGCCTCCCTGGGGGCGCCTGATGAGTTTATTGAAAAGTTAGCAACGGTGAGTTGAGATTATTTTGGTTTTTATTTTCCACCTCGGAACTTTAACATCCTCACTCATTCCCACCTGCAGGACTGTAACATCCTCACTCATCCTTCAGAGTGCAGGTACTGTACTTCCCACCTCCAGAACTGTAACATCCTCACCCATCCTTCAGAGTGCAGGTACTGTACTTCCCACCTCCAGAACTGTAACATCCTCACCCATCCTTCAGAGTGCAGGTACTGTACTTCCCACCTCCAGAACTGTAACATCCCCACTCATCCTTCAGAGTACAGGTACTGTACTTCCCACCTCCAGTATTGTAACATCCCCACTCATCCTTCAGAGTGCAGGTACTGTACTTCCCACCTCCAGTACTGTAACATCCTCACTCATCCTTCAGAGTACAGGTACTGTACTTCCCACCTCCAGTATTGTAACATCCCCACTCATCCTTCAGAGTACAGGTACTGTACTTCCCACCTCCAGTATTGTAACATCCCCACTCATCCTTCAGAGTGCAGGTACTGTACTTCCCACCTCCAGAACTGTAACATCCTCACCCATCCTTCAGAGTACAGGTACTGTACTTCCCACCTCCAGTATTGTAACATCCCCACTCATCCTTCAGAGTACAGGTACTGTACTTCCCACCTCCAGTATTGTAACATCCCCACTCATCCTTCAGAGTACAGGTACTGTACTTCCCACCTCCAGTATTGTAACATCCCCACTCATCCTTCAGAGTGCAGGTACTGTACTTCCCACCTCCAGTACTGTAACATCCCCACTCATCCTTCAGAGTACAGGTACTGTACTTCCCACCTCCAGTATTGTAACATCCCCACTCATCCTTCAGAGTGCAGGTACTGTACTTCCCACCTCCAGAACTGTAACATCCTCACCCATCCTTCAGAGTACAGGTACTGTACTTCCCACCTCCAGTACTGTAACATCCCCACTCATCCTTCAGAGTGCAGGTACTGTACTTCCCACCTCCAGTACTGTAACATCCTCACTCATCCTTCAGAGTGCAGGTACTGTACTTCCCACCTCCAGTATTGTAACATCCCCACTCATCCTTCAGAGTACAGGTACTGTACTTCCCACCTCCAGTATTGTAACATCCCCACTCATCCTTCAGAGTACAGGTACTGTACTTCCCACCTCCAGTATTGTAACATCCCCACTCATCCTTCAGAGTGCAGGTACTGTACTTCCCACCTCCAGTACTGTAACATCCTCACCCATCCTTCAGAGTACAGGTACTGTACTTCCCACCTCCAGTATTGTAACATCCCCACTCATCCTTCAGAGTACAGGTACTGTACTTCCCACCTCCAGTATTGTAACATCCCCACTCATCCTTCAGAGTACAGGTACTGTACTTCCCACCTCCAGAACTGTAACATCCTCACTCATCCTTCAGAGTGCAGGTACTGTACTTCCCACCTCCAGTACTGTAACATCCTCACTCATCCTTCAGAGTGCAGGTACTGTACTTCCCACCTCCAGTATTGTAACATCCCCACTCATCCTTCAGAGTACAGGTACTGTACTTCCCACCTCCAGTATTGTAACATCCCCACTCATCCTTCAGAGTACAGGTACTGTACTTCCCACCTCCAGTATTGTAACATCCCCACTCATCCTTCAGAGTACAGGTACTGTACTTCCCACATCCAGTATTGTAACATCCCCACTCATCCTTCAGAGTACAGGTACTGTACTTCCCACCTCCAGTATTGTAACATCCCCACTCATCCTTCAGAGTACAGGTACTGTACTTCCCACCTCCAGTATTGTAACATCCCCACTCATCCTTCAGAGTACAGGTACTGTACTTCCCACATCCAGTATTGTAACATCCCCACTCATCCTTCAGAGTACAGGTACTGTACTTCCCACCTCCAGTATTGTAACATCCCCACTCATCCTTCAGAGTACAGGTACTGTACTTCCCACCTCCAGTATTGTAACATCCCCACTCATCCTTCAGAGTACAGGTACTGTACTTCCCACCTCCAGTATTGTAACATCCCCACTCATCCTTCAGAGTACAGGTACTGTACTTCCCACATCCAGTATTGTAACATCCCCACTCATCCTTCAGAGTACAGGTACTGTACTTCCCACCTCCGGTATTGTAACATCCCCACTCATCCTTCAGAGTACAGGTACTGTACTTCCCACCTCCAGTATTGTAACATCCCCACTCATCCTTCAGAGTACAGGTACTGTACTTCCCACCTCCAGTATTGTAACATCCCCACTCATCCTTCAGAGTACAGGTACTGTACTTCCCACCTCCAGTATTGTAACATCCCCACTCATCCTTCAGAGTACAGGTACTGTACTTCCCACCTCCAGTATTGTAACATCCCCACTCATCCTTCAGAGTACAGGTACTGTACTTCCCACCTCCAGAACTGTAACATCCCCACTCATCCTTCAGAGTACAGGTACTGTACTTCCCACTTCCAGAACTGTAACATCCTCACTCAACCTTCAGAGTACAGGTACTGTACTTCCCACCTACATGTTTCACTATAAATACTTGGTCTACACACCCCCTACCCTTCCTGAAGCCTCCTTGTTCATCTGCTATCCTGCTCTCCGTCTTACTCTTAATTCTTTCAATAACTCTACCGTATTCCTTACCAGGTATACTCAACAGGCTTATTTCTCCATAATTTCTACCCTCTTTTGTCCCCTTTGCCTTTATACAAAGGAACTATGTATATTCTCTGCCAGTTTCTAGGTACCTTACCATCTTCCATACATTTATTAAATAAAAGCACCAACCATTCCAACACTATATTCTCCCCTGCTTTTAATATTTCTGCCATGATCCCATCAATCCCAGCTGCTTTATTCCCTCATTTCGTTCTACCCACTGCCTAATGCATCTCCCCCACACTCACACAGCATCATGCACCTCCCCACCCCCCACACACAGCCTCACGTACCTCCTTCACACACACAACTGGCTCTTCCTCACTCCTACAAGATATTATACCTCCCTGCCCAATGCACGAAATCACAGCTCCCATATCCATACATTCCAAGCCCCTATCCATACATTCCAAGCCCCTATGCATACATTCCAAGCCCCTATCCATACATTCCAAGTCCCTATTCATGCATTCCAAGCCCCTATCCATACATTCCAAGTCCCTATCGATCAATCCAAGCCCCTATCCATACATTCCAAGCCCCTATCCATAAATTCCAAGCCACTATCCATTAACTTCAGCCTCTACCCATCTACTCAACAGTGTTACTGGTTCACGGTGAGTATGGAATCTGTCGACAAGATGGGAAGAACAAGGCTTATGGAGCTGGCTTACTGTCGTCCTTCGGAGAGCTTGAGTACTGTCTCACTGACAAACCTGAGTTGAGGTGCTTCGACCCAGCCAAGACCTGTGTCCAGAAGTACCCCATTACTGAGTACCAGCCTGTTTACTATGTTGCTGAGAGCTTCGAGGACGCCAAACAGAAGCTTATGTGAGCTTAGTCTGTTGTTGAGTTTTACTCTCTCTTCTTTATTAACTTTGTTCGTTTGCTTTCTCTTCTGTTCTTTTGCATTTTCTTTTGTTTCTTTGCTTTTTCTTTTCTTCCACTTTCTGTTAATGACTTATAAATCGTAGTAAATTTTTTCTTGTAGAAATTTTTTGACGTGTGATTGTGTTTTTCTGTGTTAATAGATTTATTGAATTAAAACACATGTATACGTATACGGGGCCAGGAGCTGTGACTCGACCTCTGCAACCCCCATATAGACGAGTACACACACACACACACACACACACACACACACACACACACACACACACACACACACACACTATACACCCCACACAACACACCACACAGACATAACACACACACCCCCACAACACACCCCACACAACACACCCCACACAACACACACACAGACATAACACACACACACCCACACAACACACCCCACACAACACACCACACAGACATAACACACACACACCCCACACAACACACCCCACACAACACACCACACAGACATAACACACACACACCCCACACAACACACCACACACAACACACCACACAGACATAACACACACACACCCCACACAACACACCACACACAACACACCACACAGACATAACACACACCACACCCCACACAACACACCCCACACAACACACCACACAGACATAACACACACACACCCCACACAACACACCACACAGACATAACACACAACACACCCCACACAACACACCACACACAACACACCACACAGACACAACACACACACACCCCACCACACACACCCCACACAACACACACACAGACACAAACACACACACACCCCACACAACACACCACACACAACACACCACACAGACACAACACACACACCCCACACACACACACACACCCCACACAACACACCACACACAACACACCACACAGACACAACACACACACACCCCACACAACACACCCCACACAACACACCACACAGACACAACACACACACACCCCACACAACACACCCCACACAACACACCCCACACAACACACCACACAGACACAACACACACATACCCCACACAACACACCACGCAGACACAACACACACACACCCCACACAACACACCCCACACAACACACCCCACACAACACACCACACAGACACCCCACACAACACACCCCACACAACACACCCCACACAACACACCCCACACAACACACCCCACGCAACACACCACACAGACACAACACACACACACCCCACACAACACACCCCACACAACACACCCCACACAACACACCCACACAACACACCCCACACAACACACCACACAGACACAACACACACACACCCCACACAACACACCACACAGACACAACACACACACACACCCACACAACACACCCCACACAACACACCACACAGACATAACACACACACACCCCACACAACACACCACACACAACACACCACACAGACAAAACACACACACACCCCACACAACACACCACACAGACACAACACACACACACCCCACACAACACACCCCACACAACACACCACACAGACAAAACACACACACACACCACACAGACACAACACATACACACCCCACACAACACACCCCACACAAACACACCACACAGACACAACACACACACACCCCACACAACACACCCCACACAACACACCCCACACAACCCCCCCCCCACACACACAGCACTCAACTAATTCAATCTCTTCTGTTTACAGTCAATTCGCAACATCAATCCCAAGACCATTCTCAGTGCGCTACAACCCATACACTCAATCAGTTGAAATACTCAACTCTAAGCCTCAGATCGAAGCTCTAGTGAGGGAGATCAATTGTGACATGCAAGTCCTCATGGATGCTCTACTTAAGCTCACTTAGACACGCTCAGCTCCTCTAAGAGGTCAACTTTAAGAAGCACTCATGGACGCTCTAAGCTCACTTAAAGACGGTCAGCTCCTCAGATCTAAGCTCCTCTAAGAGATTACCTGTAAGGAGCATTCATGGATGCTCTAAGCTCACTTAAAGACGGTCAGCTCTACAGATCAAAGCTCCTGTAAGAAGCATTCATGGATGCTCTAAGCTCACTTAAACACGGTCAGCGCCTCAGATCTAAGCTCCTGTAAGAGATCACCTGTAAGAAGCACTCATGGATGCTCTAAGCTCACTTAAAGACGGTCAGCTCCTCAGATCTAAGCTCCTCTAAGAGATTACCTGTAAGGAGCATTCATGGATGCTCTAAGCTCACTTAAAGACGGTCAGCTCTACAGATCAAAGCTCCTGTAAGAAGCATTCATGGATGCTCTAAGCTCACTTAAACACGGTCAGCGCCTCAGATCTAAGCTCCTGTAAGAGATCACCTTTAAGAAGCACTCATGGACGCTCTAAGCTCACTTAAACACGGTCATCTCCTCAGATCAAAGCAATTATAGAATCAACTGTCTTTGATCTGCTAATTGTAAATAACTCATTACCACTAACTTAGCCAATAAGATAATTAACTCCAGCTCCTGGGCCCATTTTATGCCTCTATAATTTGTTGACTATCAGCCAGAGAACAGGCATTGGGGTGACTGTCACCCAAAGTATATGTATAAGGTGACTATCACCCACATGTGACATATTTAGACCTCAAATGAGGTCCTCTTCAGAAGACCTGCCAAGGAGGGCACTGACCGTCAACCGATACTCAAAAAGTGCAGACAAGTCCTGGTTCCTCCCTCCAGCTGTGTTTTCACCGTATTAAGAAAAGCTAATCGCACTACTACCCTAGAATATGGCTGTTGGAGTTCAATATTACCCATATCTTTAATATTATTATAAAATCAATGTTATGCTTACTATTAATATTATACAATATATATTATTTTATTGATAATAAAATATAATATACTTAATTATTTCTACCTTTATAATTATGAAATTGTTATAATAAAAAAGAAGCGCTAAACCTACGAGGGTCATACAGCAATAATTATGAAAAAATATACAGTAAAACCTCGGGTCACGAATGCTTCCGAACACGAACGAATCGGTTCACGACCAAAAAATTCGCCAAATTTTGCATCTGGTCACGAACACATAATCGGGTGCCGAACAAACGCAGCCGCGCCACACCCCATGACCGGGTTGGCAAAGCTATCACTTCATACACGGAGGGCCCGGGTTGGATTCTCAGCGAGGTGGAAATATTTCGACACGTTTCCTTACACCTGTTGTCCTGTTCACCTAGCAGCAAATAGGTACCTGGGTGTTAGTCGACTGGTGTGGGTCGCATCCTGGGGGACAAGATTGAGGACCCCAATGGAAATAAGACAGTCCTTGTAATAAAGTTGGTAGAATTACCGACAATATGTAAAGTAAAAGGACACAAGTGCAACTAATGTGACATTTTATTGTGGCAACGTTTCGCTCTCCAGGAGCTTTGTCAAGCCATTGGTAATGGCTTGATAAAGCTCCTGGAGAGCGAAACGTTGCCACAATAAAATGTCACATTAGTTGCACTTGTGTCCTTTTACTTTACAAGACAGTCCTTGATGACGCACTGACTTTTTTGGGTTATCCTGGATGGCTAACCCTCTGGGGTTAAAAATCCGAAAGAAATCTTATCTCTCCACATTCCCTACCTTTTTTTTTTTCACTCGCGCCAATTTTCCCCACTTCCCGTAATTACGACAGTGATAAATTCGGATTAGCAATGTTTTATTAGCAAGCACAGCTTCTCGCAGCGCCAGTACCCAGCTAGGGCTTAACATATATGATTTTTGGTAAATATTTTTTTTCTTAGTTGTTTGTTGGGCTATCTTATTGAAACTTGGGCAATGTATGATGGAAAAAGGCTTCTTAATGTACACCAAAAATTAAAGAAATCGGACGATAAATAACGGAGTTCACTGCTAAGACATTAGATGTTATTCAAGGTTTTCTCAGTGTTATTCAAGGTTTTCTCGGTGTTATTCAAGGTTTTCTCAGTGTTATTCAAGGTTTTCTCAGTGTTATTCAAGGTTTTCTCAGTGTTATTCAAGGTTTTCTCAGTGTTATTCAAGGTTTTCTCAGTGTTATTCAAGGTTTTCTCAGTGTTATTCAAGGTTTTCTCAGTGTTATTCAAGGTTTTCTCAGTGTTATTCAAGGTTTTCTCAGGGTTATTCAAGGTTTTCTCAGTGTTATTCAAGGTTTTCTCAGGGTTATTCAAGGTTTTCTCAGTGTTATTCAAGGTTTTCTCAGTGTTATTCAAGGTTTTCTCAGTGTTATTCAAGGTTTTCTCGGTGTTATTCAAGGTTTTCTCAGTGTTATTCAAAGTTTTCTCAGTGTTATTCAAGGTTTTCTCAGTGTTATTCAAGGTTTTCTCAGTGTTATTCAAGGTTTTCTCAGTGTTATTCAAGGTTTTCTCAGGGTTATTCAAGGTTTTCTCAGTGTTATTCAAGGTTTTCTCAGTGTTATTCAAGGTTTTCTCAGTGTTATTCAAGGTTTTCTCAGTGTTATTCAAGGTTTTCTCAGTGTTATTCAAGGTTTTCTCAGTGTTATTCAAGGTTTTCTCAGTGTTATTCAAGGTTTTCTCAGTGTTATTCAAGGTTTTCTCAGTGTTATTCAAGGTTTTCTCAGTGTTATTCAAGGTTTTCTCAGTGTTATTCAAGGTTTTCTCAGGGTTATTCAAGGTTTTCTCAGGGTTATTCAAGGTTTTCTCAGTGTTATTCAAGGTTTTCTCAGTGTTATCAAGGTTTTCTCAGTGTTATTCAAGGTTTTCTCAGTGTTATTCAAGGTTTTCTCAGTGTTATTCAAGGTTTTCTCAGTGTTATTCAAGGTTTTCTCAGTGTTATTCAAGGTTTTCTCAGTGTTATTCAAGGTTTTCTCAGTGTTATTCAAGGTTTTCTCAGTGTTATTCAAGGTTTTCTCAGTGTTATTCAAGGTTTTCTCAGTGTTATTCAAGGTTTTCTCAGTGTTATTCAAGGTTTTCTCAGTGTTATTCAAGGTTTTCTCAGTGTTATTCAAGGTTTTCTCAGGGTTATTCAAGGTTTTTACATTTAGTTTACTAAATGGTTAATGGAGTTTCAAGACTATCTACTACACTAGGGTTGGTTAATGGGGTTTCAAGACTACAACACGAGGGTCATTAAGGCTACATGTCACCTGTACACCACCAGTCAAGAATACTTTAACACCTAAAATACTGATTAACGTAAACTACCAGTGTATATACACTGAGATATACATCTCTCAGTGTATATATACTGAGATATACACCTCTCAGTGTATATACACTGAGATATACACCTCTCAGTGTATATACACTGAGATATACACCTCTCAGTGTATATACACTGAGATATACACCTCTCAGTGTACATACACTGAGATATACACCTCTCAGTGTATATACACTGAGATATACACCTCTAAGTATATATACACTGAGATATACATCTCTCAGTGTATATACACTGAGATATACACCTCTCAGTGTACATACACTGAGATATACACCTCTCAGTGTATATACACTGAGATATACACCTCTAAGTATATATACACTGAGATATACATCTCTCAGTGTATATACACTGAGATATACATCTCTCAGTGTATATACACTGAGATATACATCTCTCAGTGTATATACACTGATATATACACCTCTCAGTGTATATACACTGAGATATACATCTCTCAGTGTATATACACTGAGATATACATCTCTCAGTGTATATACACTGATATATACACCTCTCAGTGTATATACACTGAGATATACATCTCTCAGTGTATATACACTGATATATACACATCTCAGTGTATATACACTGATATATACACCTCTCAGTGTATATACACTGAGATATACATCTCTCAGTGTATATACACTGAGATGTACATCTCTCAGTGTATATACACTGAGATATACATCTCTCAGTGTATATACACTGATATATACACCTCTCAGTATATATACACTGAGATATACATCTCTCAGTGTATATACACTGAGATATACATCTCTCAGTGTATATACACTGATATATACACCTCTCAGTGTATATACACTGAGATATACATCTCTCAGTGTATATACACTGAGATATACATCTCTCAGTGTATATACACTGATATATACACCTCTCAGTGTATATACACTGAGATATACATCTCTCAGTGTATATACACTGATATATACACCTCTCAGTGTATATACACTGAGATATATACCTCTCAGTGTATATACACTGATATATACACCTCTCAGTGTATATACACTGAGATATACATCTCTCAGTGTATATACACTGAGATATACATCTCTCAGTGTATATACACTGATATATACACCTCTCAGTGTATATACACTGAGATATACACCTCTCAGTGTATATACACTGAGATATACATCTCTCAGTGTATATACACTGATATATACACCTCTCAGTGTATATACACTGAGATATACATCTCTCAGTGTATATACACTGATATATACACCTCTCAGTGTATATACACTAAGATATACATCTCTCAGTGTATATACACTGATATATACACCTCTCAGTGTATATACACTAAGATATACATCTCTCAGTGTATATACACTGAGATATACACCTCTCAGTGTATATACACTGATATATACACCTCTCAGTGTATATGCACTGAGATATACATCTCTCAGTGTATATACACTGAGATATACATCTCTCAGTGTATATACACTGAGATATACACCTCTCAGTGTATATACACTGAGATATACACCTCTCAGTGTATATACACTGAGATATACACCTCTCAGTGTATATACACTGAGATATACACCTCTCAGTGTATATACACTGAGATATACACCTCTCAGTGTATATACACTGAGATATACACCTCTCAGTGTATATACACTGAGATATACATCTCCCAGTGTATGTAGTGTGTACAGAAAATAATTTTAACATGAAATTAATAAAAATAATAATAACAATAATAATAATAGTCATATTTTATTAACAAAATCAACAAATTCCATATAAATCTAAAAATATCCACATTTGCATATATATATATATATATATATATATATATATATATATATATATATATATTATATATATAATATATATATATAATATATATATATATATATTAAAAGGGGTATACACAATATACATAGCAATTTACATCACTGGTAAATACGGGAATATTCCAGGTATCCGGCTGGTCGTGGTATCCCTGGTATGCTTGTGGTACTGGTACATCAATACTGGGACAGGTATTCCTGGTATCCTTGCTGGTACTGGTACATTAATACTGGGACTGGTCCTGGTATCCCTGGTATCCTTGCTGGTACTGGTACATTAATACTGGGACTGGTCCTGGTATCCCTGGTATCCTTGCTGGTACTGGTTCTCGGAGTCGTACTGGGGCTCAGAGTACTGGGAATGAACCTGGGTCTTCTGCAGGACCGGGGTATCTTGGTCTGGCTTAGGCGATGGTATTATGTACAGGTCCTCGTTGATCTGACCAGGAAAATAATAATAATAATAATTATTTTAATAATAATAATAAGAGTAGTAGTAGTATTACCATTATTATTATTATTATTATTATTATTATTATTATTATTACTGACCCCTTTGCAGCCACAAATAATTGAGTATACACATATAACACACATGGAGCAGGAAGAGAGTGAATCTTATAGTGATCAGTGAAGAGGCGGGGCCAGGTGCTGTGAATCAACACCTGCAACCACAATTAGGTGAGTACACACACACACATTAACTAACACACTAACTAGGTGGTACTAACCCTGGACTGTAGAGCGATGGTCTCAGCGTCGCAATTCACATTGAACCACCACTCACATACACGGTTGCCCTGGTTGTAGATGGTGCCATTAGGGCAGAGGAACGACTCCATGAGGCCGTCTGTTTTGCAGTAGTGCCATACCTGAGGACCAGCAGATAGAGCTTTGCAAGTTTATTTAGGTATAGATCCACATAAATACAATTATTATTCATAGTAACACTGCATAAATTACGTAGGATAACACAGAAAAGGTCAATCAAAGGGACTTATTCCCATGGTGATCCTTGGTCTATTGCCATGGGGTCCTTGCTGCATTTCCATGGGGGTCCTTGATGCATTTCCATGGGGGTCCTTGATGCATTTCCATGGGAGTTATTGCAAAGTTGGGGGTGTTGAAGAGATGGGGTAACTGACTTGGTTATAGAAAGGTGTATGGAATAGGTGGTTGCTTACTGTAAGCAGATGAACAAGGAGGCTTTAGGAAGGGTAGGGGGTGTGTAGACCAAGCGTTTACAGTTAAACATATAGGTGAATAGTATACTTATAAGGGTAAAGAGGTTTTTGTTGCATTTAGGGATTTGAAAAAGGCGTATGATAGGGTGGATAGGGGGACAATGTGGCAGATGTTACAAGTATATGGAATAAGTATATACGAGGGTAGTGAGGCTCAAGTTAGAGTATGTAGGAAAGAGGGAGATTATTTCCCAGTAAAAGTAGGCCTTAGGCTGTGATGTGTGATGTCACCATGGTGGTTCAATATATTTATAGATGGAGTTGTAAGAGAAGTGAATGCTGGAGCGTTGGCAAGAGGTGTGGAGTTAAAAGATAAAGAATCTAACACAAAGTGGGAGTTATCACAGTTGCTCTTTGCTGATGACACTGTGCTTTTGGCAGATTATGAAGAGAAGTTGCAGAGGCTGGTGGATGAGTTTGGTAGGGTATGTAAAAGATGGAAATTAAAAGTGAATGTAGGAAAGAGTAAGGTGATGAGGATAACAAAAATTTAGGTAATGAAAGATTGGATATCAGATTGGACGAAGTGAATGTATTCAGATATTTGGAAGTGGACGTACCAGCAGATGGGTCTATGAAAGATGAGGTGAATCATAGAACTGATGAGGGGAACAAGGTGAGTGGTGCACTGAGGAGTCTGTGGAGACAAAGAACGTTATCCATGGAAGCAAAGAGGGGAATCTATGATAATATAGTGGTACTAACACTGGTATATGGGTGTGAAGCATGGGTTGCTAACATTGCAGCTAGCAGGAGGCTGCAGGCAGTGATTTTTTGAGAGCATGAGTGTGCATATGACAACAGAGTATAAGTCAACACAACTCACTCTGTGAATGACTATTTCAGCAAACAGGTTATCAACAACCTCACAAATTATCAACTAATCGCAACAAATTCTGGCTGAATTTGCAATGAAGAAAAAATCAACATATGCAACCTTCTAGATTAGCTATTTAAGTTAAATTACGTTACAGTTAGCATGGATGACTTGTTAGATTAGCTGTATATCACACCCAGCGGGGTAGCCCAGTGGTGAGAGGCGTGACACTCACCACTGGGGGCCTGGGTTCGAATCCCAGATGAACTACTAGAAAAAAATATAGCTGTATATCAGGTTTTAATGTGTATTTAGAAGAGACAGGTGGTGTTCTCACAGCTGGGAGAGACAGGTGGTGATCTCACAGCTGGGAGAGACAGGTGGTGATCTCACAGCTGGGAGAGACAGGTGTTGTTCTCACATCTGGGAGAGACAGGTGTTGTTCTCACATCTGGGAGAGACAGGTGTTGTTCTCACATCTGGGAGAGACAGGTGGTGATCTCACAGCTGGGAGAGACAGGTGTTATTCTCACAGCTGGGAGAGACAGGTGTTGTTCTCACATCTGGGAGAGACAGGTGTTGTTCTCACATCTGGGAGAGACAGGTGGTGATCTCACAGCTGGGAGAGACAGGTGTTATTCTCACAGCTGGGAGAGACAGGTGGTGATCTCACAGCTGGGAGAGACAGGTGTTGTTCTCACAGCTGGGAGAGACAGGTGTTGTTCTCACATCTGAGAGAGACAGGTGTTGTTCTCACATCTGGGAGAGACAGGTGGTGATCTCACAGCTGGGAGAGACAGGTGTTATTCTCACAGCTGGGAGAGACAGGTGTTGTTCTCACATCTGGGAGAGACAGGTGTTGTTCTCACATCTGGGAGAGACAGGTGGTGATCTCACAGCTGGGAGAGACAGGTGTTATTCTCACAGCTGGGAGAGACAGGTGGTGATCTCACAGCTGGGAGAGACAGGTGTTGTTCTCACAGCTGGGAGAGACAGGCGTTGTTCTCACATCTGAGAGAGACAGGTGTTGTTCTCACATCTGGGAGAGACAGGTGGTGATCTCACAGCTGGGAGAGACAGGTGTTATTCTCACAGCTGGGAGAGACAGGTGTTGTTCTCACATCTGGGAGAGACAGGTGTTGTTCTCACATCTGGGAGAGACAGGTGGTGATCTCACAGCTGGGAGAGACAGGTGTTGTTCTCACAGCTAGGAGAGACAGGTGTTGTTCTCACATCTGAGAGAGACAGGTGTTGTTCTCACATCTGGGAGAGACAGGTGGTGATCTCACAGCTGGGAGAGACAGGTGGTGATCTCACAGCTGGGAGAGACAGGTGTTATTCTCACAGCTGGGAGAGACAGGTGTTGTTCTCACATCTGAGAGAGACAGGTGTTATTCTCACAGCTGGGAAAAACAGGTGGTGCTATCACAGCTGGGAAAGACGAAAGAACCTGACAGTGGAAACACACACACAGCTGGAACACTCACCTGACAGCCAGATGGTTCATCAACATAAAAGCCAGGTAATTTGTCCCTACAAGAGAAGCTGGTGGCAGGGATAGTGGAGTGTACTGGGTAGTCCTTTCCAGGTGTACCTGTAGGGGATACACCTCACCCAGTTATATTGCAACATAAGAAAGAGCACTGCAGAAGGCCTACTGGCCCATGCTATGCAGGTTCAAGTCAATTATTGGCCCATGCTAGGTAGGTCCAAGTCACCTACTGGCCCATGCTAGGCAGGTCCAAGTCACACCCACGAAATAATAATAAATGTAATAATAAACATATGTAATAATGTAATAATAATAATAATAATAATAATAATAATAAATATAATTATAATACCTGGGATGCTGTTGCCAGCCTCCTCCTCCAGATCTTCCTCTATCTCCTGGTGGTGTTTCTTCAGGTACCTGGGATGCTCTGTCTGGTACTGCTCTGGCTGACCTACTGGGTACCTGGGTAGTACATAATTACCTGCGTTTATCTACGTTTTTATTCACTGTGTGTTTATTGTGGATCATAATTAGTGAATAATGATGATAATGATGATGATAATAATAATCTCTAACAGGTAAATATTACCTTACTAACGTCAAACTCTGGCTAATATTATGTTAAATAGAATTAATATTATATTAACTAGAATTAATATAATATTAACTAGAATTAATATAATATTAATCTGAATTAATATAATATTAATCTGAATTAATATAATATTAATCTGAATTAATATAATATTAATCTGAATTAATATAATATTAACTTGAATTAATATAATATTAACCTGAATTATATTATAAATTTAACAAATTACTAGACAATAAATTCCACATTTAACTCTCCACCTGAATTATTCAAGAGTTCTTGATCCGAAGAACTAGAGCAAGCCTCCCCCTTTGTCCTATCCCTCGGATCAAAGGCCTTACCTGGGATCATCCTGATAGGCCTGGAGTGGTTCCCGGTACTGCTGGGGTAAGCGGCTGTATGGTACCTGAGGCCTGGCTGAGGTGACACCTGCCCCCAGTATACCTGTGTATACATATGTATACATGTTAGTATGATGCATTATGAGAGAATACTATGTATATATATTGGCTAGTATGATACATTGTAGGAAAAATATGTATACATATATTATCACTATACATTATGGGAAATACTTGCCCAGTATACATGTGTATACTTATGTATACATGTTAGTTCGATGCATTATGAGAAACAGAATGTATACATATTGGCTAGTATGATACATCGTGGAAAAAATATATATACATACTTATTAGAAAACGTTTTGGGGCCCAGTTCCTGGGCCCATTATGTACCTCTGTAACGTTTTGACTACCACCCAGTTCCTGGGCCCATTATGCACCTCTGTAACGTTTTGACTACCACCCAGTTCCTGGGCCCATTATGCACCTCTGTAACGTTTTGACTACCACCCAGTTCCTGGACCCATTATGTGCCTCTGTAACGTTTTGACTACCACCCAGTTCCTGGGCCCATTATGTACCTCTGTAACGTTTTGACTACCACCCAGTTCCTGGGCCCATTATGCACCTCTGTAACGTTTTGACTACCACCCAGTTCCTGGGCCTATTATGTACCTCTAACGTTTTGACTACCACCCAGTTCCTGGACCCATTGTGTGCCTCTGTAACGTTTTGACTACCACCCAGTTCCTGGACCCATTATGCACCTCTGTAACTTTTGACTACCGCCCATAGGATGTGTATGGGCTGCATAATAAAGATACTGAACTAAAAACATGTCTTGAATTAGTCCTCCCGCCAGCGTACGTTTTAGCTAGTTTAATATGTTTATTATGCACCCCACACCCATCCTGTGGGCGGTAGTCAAAGGATTACAAAGGTACATAATGGGTCCAGGGACTGGACCCCAAAGTTATGATAGCTGAACTATTACTGTCTCCCAGGACAGCACCTCCAGCTTCACCATTACTGTCTCCCAGGACAGCACCTCCAGCTTCACCATTACTGTTTCCCAGGACAGCACCTCCAGCTTCACCATTACTGTCTCCCTGGACAGCACTTCCAGCTTCACCATTACTGTCTCCCAGGACAGCACCTCCAGCTTCACCATTACTGTCTCCCAGGACAGCACCTCCAGCTTCACCATTACTGTCTCCCAGGACAGCACCTCCAGCCTTACAGTTTCTGACTACATGGCCAGCATCAAGGGTGATACCATCCAGCCCAGACTTTTTATTTTCCCATCTGTTATAGAATGCTTCCAGGTTTTCTGTGAAGGCTGCTTTGATGTTATCCTCTTTTAATACCAATGTGATTTTAATCCGCAGATTGATCTCATTTTGGCATACCCAAAAACACTTCCCTGATTTAATACTGCTTGTAGATAGTTCTTGGATATCTGCACAAGGGGCGTGACACCAATTTTCACAAAAATGACGATTTATCCATGTGGAAGCCCGTTTGTTTGATTGATATAATAATAATAATAATAATAATAATAATAATAATAATAATAATAATAATAATAATAATAATAATAATAATAATAAATCTTTATTTCTACAAGTACATGTACAAGGTATACAGACCATACCTGGAGTTTACCTGGAGAGAGTTTCGGGGGTCAACGCCCCCGCGGCCCGGTCTGTGACCAGGCCTCCTGGTGGATCAGCGCCTGATCAACCAGGCTGTTGCTGCTGGCTGCACGCAAACCAACGTACGAGCCACAGCCCGGCTGATCAGGAACCGACTTTAGGTGCTTGTCCAGTGCCAGCTTGAAGACTGCCAGGGGTCTGTTGGTAATCCCCCTTATGTGTGCTGGGAGGCAGTTGAACAGTCTCGGGCCCCTGACACTTATTGTATGGTCTCTTAACGTGCTAGTGACACCCCTGTTGACATCATTGACATACTACTATATAGAAAGCTTGTTATGCTGAGCACTTCCCGCAAATTAGGTCAGTTTTGTCCCAGGATGTGACCCACACCAGTCCACTAACACCCAGGTACCCATTTTACTGATGGGTGAACATAGACAGAAGGTGTCTTGAGGAAACATGTCCTAATGTTTCTACCCATACCGGGGAATTGAATCCCGGACCTCAGTTTGTGAGCTGAGTGCGCAAGCGATCGAAGTTGATCCAGAGCGCATTGTACCGCCATCCATCGGCTTCGTTTGGGCTTTCCCACAGCCAAGATGATGGTAGACAAGGCAGAGATGGGCCAGCACTGACAGCACGCATAACGGAGATAAAACACCTCAATTACTGGGAGCGCTTGAAGTTCCTGAACCTGTACTCCCTGGAACGCAGGCGGGAGAGATACATGATTATATACACCTGGAAAATCCAAGAGGGACTAGTACCAAACTTGCACACGAAAATCACTCTTTACGAAAGCAAAAGACTTGGCAGACGATGCAACATCCCCCCAATGAAAAGCAGGGGTATCACTAGCACGTTAAGAGACAACACAATAAGTGTCAGGGGCCCAAGACTGTTCAACTGCCTCCCAGCATACATAAGGGGGATTACCAATAGACCCTTGGCTGTCTTCAAGCAGGCACTGGACAAGCACCTGAAGTCGGTACCTGACCAGCCGGGCTGTGGCTCGTACGTTGGATTGCGTGCAGCCAGCATTAACAGCCTGGTTGATCAGGCTCTGATCCACCATGAGGCCTGGTCAGAGACCGGGCCGCAGGGGCGTTGACCCCAGGAACTCTCTCCAGGTAAACACGTCGTGCAGCGCCCCTGACACACTCTCTCCTGGAGTGCCACGTCACTGAGACACTCCATACGCAACTGACTTGCCCTCCCGAAGAAGACCCAGAAAGAACTGCTGCTATCCTAGTGTACCATGAAGTCAGCGCCCCGGACAAGCTGTCGGCCGTGATAACCACATATCTTCCTCGCTAGAGTGCCCACAATTATGTATGTGTGTGCGTAAGAAAGTTTGCATGAAATATACATGTGTATGCAATAAGATCACAGTAAACAGGTGATATCACAATATGCAGAACAACCACTGTCAAAATAATAGCGAAATTTCAAGCGGTTTCGTAATTTCTCACACTGGAATTTCACTATTCTTTCACAGTGGTTGTTTTGCATACGTATGTGTATAATGTGCCCAGCATAGACATGTATATGTATCAGTGTTCCTGCCAGGAACCCAAAAATTACAGATTGTCGCTTATGAGACGCACCAAATGCACTCTCCAGACCACTGCTTGAGCGGCACATGTTGCAACATTCCAGAATCCAATCTCCTTAGGGAGCCAGAAACAGATCATCGCAAGATTAAGACCTGTGCCACATCCCCGGTCTTGGAAATCATTATACATGCATACATACAACCTGAATATGAAAATGGTATACATGCATAGTGTTGCGGCCTCCTACCAAACTGGTGGTTAGGTAGTTAACCTGCCGGCCTGCAGTACCACTGGGTACGTCATCAAACCCAATGTGGGGACCGCTGAGCCGGCCTGATAAAGTGTTCACCAGACTCTCACGGAATACACCTGCTGGTGACTGGCCTTTGAGAGTGGTTACCAGACTGCCTATCGGAGTGGACACCTGCTGACTTAAGCTTCTGTAGCAGACCTGAGGGACCTGTGGGTCTCTGTGTCAGAGGACGGACGCGTGGGAATTAAGCTTCTGTAGCAGACCTGAGGGACCTGTGGGTCTCTGTGTCAGAGGACGGACACGTGGGAATTAAGCTTCTGTAGCAGACCTGAGGGACCTGTGGGTCTCTGTGTCAGAGGACGGACACGTGGGAAGCCAGGCTGTATATAACCTGGTGAGCGCTGTGTGTCAGGTTACACGGACACGCAAGTATTGCGGAAAGTCAGGGTGTCGTGTAACCTCTGTAATCTGTAAATACCTTTGTAACTTGTCATGATTGTGACCAGACTTACCTGGAGTTCATTACCTTTGTAAATTGTGAGTTCATTACCTTTGTAAATTGTGAGTTCATTACCTTTGTAAATTGTGAGTTCATTACCTTTGTAAATTGTGAGTTCATTACCTTTGTAAATTGTGAGTTCATTACCTTTGTAAATTGTGAGTTCATTACCTTTGTAAATTGTGAGTTCATTACCTCTGTAACTTGCTCAGCTATCAAAACTTTGGAGTCCAGTCCCTGGACCCATTATGTACCTCTGTAATCTTTTGACTACCGCCCACAGGATGGGTATGGGGTGCATAATAAACATATTAAACTAACTAAAACGTGTAACCCGGTGAGCGTAGAAGTGTAAAATGACGCAGGGAAAAGGAACTTTGGGGTACAGTCCCTGGACCCATTATGTACCTCTGTAATGTTTTGACTTCCACCCACAGGATGGGTATAGGGTGCATAATAAACATTAAACTTGAAAAGGAAATACTGAGGGTCATGACACGAAGTAAAGGCAGTACAGAGACGGAGTGTTGTGACACAGAAAAGACAATGTTGTGGATGTACCACAATGTCGAGGGACACGATGGTGTCATGACACTGGGATTGATGGTGTCGTGGGACACCAGAAACTGCGGTGACGTATGACAGACAATTTAGTGTCATAACTTGCTTTACAATTACTTATTAAGTATATGTGATATATCTATACTAAATATTTAGCTTTAAAATTTTTTTTAAAAAATATTTTGCATAAAAAAGTTATTACAAACCTTAGTAATCCCGAACTGTTAACAGTAGTAACAGGTTAATGTAAGAAATACCTCTCGTGTGTGTATGAGCGCGCGCGCGCTAGTGAGGGTGTATGATCCACTTAATATTTGTATTTATAACTCATTACAATTGTGACCAGGTGTGGACGTATCAGTGGTTCATTACTTTGTAATTTGTTCATGACTGTAACCATGTATAGGAGTGAGGCTGATTCATTACCTCTGTAACTTGCCATGATTAGTGACCAGATCTACCTGGAGTTCATTACCTCTGTAACTTGCCATGATTGTGACCAGATCTACCTGGAGTTCATTACCTTTGTAACTAGTTCAACTATCATAACTTTGGGGTCCAGTCACTGGCCCCATT